CATGGGCAAATGCGGCTCTTTTTGAGTTACATGCGGCTCTTGCTGAAAGTGTTAATTTCTGCTTTTTATTATTATTTTTACAATTTTATTTCCACAGTTTTGTGAAAATATGTTTATTAAAAAATTCAATATTTGTTTTATATTATATTTATATTATATAATAAAATCATGGTACAGAACTGCAGTACAGAATAAAGTACAGAACTGCAGCTCCCATGCATTTTGCAAAACCTACATTTTGGCTCCTACTGAACTCTTGCTTGCCCACCCCTGGTATATATTAAGTTGCCTTTGATTATATATGCACCGTTAGTTTAGAATTTGAATTTTAGGGATTTTTTTTATGAAGGGAAAACTTTTAATAATAATCAATTTCATTAAGTTTTTTTAAATAACAAGAAGTTAGAAAAATGATACAAATACAATGAAATAGTTAATAGTAGCAGTGGCATGTCCATAGTTGCCAATAGTCAGCATTTTATATACTGTCAGTAGATAGGCTGGTTTTCCATTTTGTCAATGTTTTTAAACAATTTGATATTATCACATAAACATTTCATTTAACGAGTCTAATACCAATGTGTGCCTAAGACATTATTTGTATTTTATTATGAACGACTGAAGCGAACCAGAATGACATTCTCAGGTTCCTTCAATTGGGAAAGAACAAATATTGGTATTTTTATATATGTATGAAAATTTTAGCTTGAGTGTGATAATTTTAAATGGCACATATGATAAATTGCATCTTTAAGTTTGGCAATGTTAGTGCCATTACATTGGTTGTTAAATCAATTATGGCAGACTCATCAGGAGGAAATGAGCTACTCTTTCAGTTAGACCAAATTATTAAGCAGCACTACAGTTTCTCCTCCCAAAAAGAAGAAACATCTAGTTCAACACTTAAGAATATACAGGTCATGTATGAATTTTCTCAAGAAAAGAACTATAATCAGTCTTACTATTTTACAAAGATTTGTAATCTTTGTAAAATAGTAAGACTGATTATAGTTGAAATATTAAGGCTGCTGAAGGTTTTGCCACACAACAATGCAGGGTCTCCCCTGATTGCTGTGTGGCAAAAAGAAAAGATATTCAGTATGATAAAGAAAAAAAGGACAGAGATAGGAAATAAATTACAACTAGAAAAATCATTGGTCTTAATAATTGCAGCAAAAGTCATAAACTGATTGATAGCAACTGTAATGATACATTGTAACAAAAGAAATTGTGCAATGTTTGGCTTTGTTAATAAAAACATATAACAGGAAGCATCATGCAATATCAAGTCACATCAAGATGAAACACTGTAAATCTAGGTATAGATTTCTGTGTTCCATAAAATACTTAACCACCTTTAAATTGTGATGTTAAAGGGTATAAAGGTACTTCCATATTCTTGACAGTGTTTATGGCAATAGCTTTATAAGATATCATCATATACAGAGATACCTCTAATAAACAAAATTTAATGTACAGAATTTTTTTACTAAATTTGTGTCCAGGATAAAATGTACCCTTTTAGTGAATTTTGTCATGTACAAGTACCTGCTGAGAAGTCATGTTGAGAAGTTTTTACTATAAAACTAATAATGTCCATACCTAGAAATTCACAAGATCTATGTATCATGACTGAGGAGGGACCCTGTTAGGTCCAAAATGCATATCATAATAAATATTGATACATAGAAGAAAATTGTCTCAAGGTCATTCTGTAAGTCTGTCTAGGAGAAGTGCGCTAGCACAAAAAATAGGAAATGGACATTATTGTTTATTGGAAATAAAATATTCATCAAACCTTAGGAATGCTTTTATTGTTAATGAAGATCCTACTACACTAAAAATATTTTGTTTCTTTATTCCTGAAGAAACTTCACTGATTTTGCCATGTTGGCTCAATCATAACTTTGTTGTTTGTAACTACAAAGTACTCTTGCAAACTGTTTTGCGCTACTGATGGAGACCTCTTGCAAACTTTTGTTTGCAAGAGGTCTCCATCAGTAGTGTAAAACTTATAGGCAGTGAGCCTGTAGTAGATTCACTACATTGAAGTTTTGTTTTTATTTAGTTTATATATATGTTACAGTCAAAACCCGTTTTTAGTTAGGATGCGTTTTAACTAGTTGAAACTAGTTTATACTGAATGTCTTTGTTAAAACCCGTTTTGTCTAGTTAAAACTAGTTTTAACTCAAATTCATTTTTGACTAGCAGTAAATTCTAGTTTTAACTAGACAAAACCGATTTTGTCTAGTTAATTTACTGCTGTATATGTTTTGATTNTACTAACAAAAAATATTATATATACTACATATATATACTAACATTTAAATATATTCTTAATAACTTCATTTGTTATAATGCAACAAATAAAATTTTTATTTGCTGCATTATAACAAATGAAGTTATTAAGAATATATTTAAATGTTAGTAAAATAATTCTTGGGGTTATTTGGATACACTGGAAATGAGAATTTATCGTATAAGAAATAATGGAAAACACCCCTATTATCCAAATTCCTGATATTCAAATTATTTTCAGGAACTCTATACAGCTATCAGCTATATCCTATTATCTGAATATAAAATAAAATAATTTAAAAACTTAACATGCAATTTTAATCAATTTGTTGCTTTTACTGTTCTTATAATAATTCTTATTTACTATATATCTATACTTGAACAAAATAAAATATAAAATGTTTTGTACTTGTATATACTCTCACACACACACACAGTTTCAATTAACCCAAGAGTCATTGAAGTGGGGTTTTGCATTGAGATCTGTTGTATAAGAGTGTTTTGTCTTTGTCAATAAAAACAAGAAAACTAATACAATAATGTTTTACAAAACTTGGTTTAGTGATTTGTGATACTTGAAAAGATTATAGATGTTTTTAAAAAAAAAGAAGTTACATTGGTGATTTTTAATGACTATGAATTTTGAAAAATTAATGGTTAATAAAAGTTCTATTTCATATATTATATATAAATATTTATATATATTATATAACATTTTATTACTATATATTTTATCACTTTGTATCAAACATGTTGTTCAAGTTTTTGATTATCTGATGTACAGTACCCTCAGTCTGCATTACCTTAAATAATTAGGACATGCTACTGTGTATGAATTGCATTTTGTGTGGCTCTATAAGATGTCTGTCACAATGAAAATATATCCCATTTCCCAGAATACTAAAGAAATAAGAATTGCTATCGGTTGCC